TAGGGAAAGGGAGGGAAAAGGAGGAAAAATGGAGAAAGGGAGGTGAATTGGATAAAGGAGGGAAATTGGAAAAAAATGGAAAATTAGGGAATGGGAGGAAAGTTGGAGAAGAGGAGGAAAGTTGGAGAAGGGGAGGAAAGTTGGAGAAGAGGAGAAAAAGTAGAGAAGGGGAGGGAAACTGGAGCAAAGGAGGAAGATTAGGAAAGAGGAGGAGAGGAAAATTGGAGAAAAGGGAAAACGGAGGAAAAGGAAAAATGGAGAAAAAGGAAAAAAAGGAGAAAAGGGGGAAAAATGGAGAAAAGGAGGAGAGCTACAGAACAGGAGGGAAATGGGAGAAATGGAGGAAAATGAGAGAGAGGGAAGTTGGAAAAAAGAAGGAAAGCTGAGGGAAAGAAGGAAAATCAGAGAAAAGGAGGGAAGTGGGGAAAAAGGAGGAAAACCCTGTCACGGTGTCTGTCCCCCGGCGTCCCCCCCGTCCTCGCCGCGTCCCTGAGGGCTTCTGGGTGCCCGCCGCAGGTTCGAGAAGCTGGACATCACCCCCAAGAGCGCCCAGAAGTTGAAACCGGTGCTGGAGAAGTGGTTGAGCGAAGCCGAGCTGCGTAACCAAGAGGGGCAACAAAACCTGATGGAGTTCGTTGGGGGGGAACCCTCCAAAAAACGGAAGCGACGTACTTCCTTCACCCCCCAAGCCATCGAAGCTCTCAACGCCTACTTCGAGAAGAACGCCTTGCCCACCGGCCAGGAGATCACCGAGATCGCCAAGGAGCTCAACTACGACCGCGAAGTCGTCCGCGTCTGGTTCTGCAACCGCCGGCAGACCCTCAAAAACACCAGTAAACTCAACGTCTTTCAGATCCCCTAAATGGGGGACGGGGACGTCCCTGTGTGTCCCCCGTTTGCCCACCCCGACCTCCTGCCATCAGCACTTTTGCCACCGACTTTGTCCCCCGGCCCCGCGGTGGGAGCTGGGGTCTCCGCCACCCCACTGTGCCCGTAGGTGTGTCCGTGTGTCCGTCTGTCCCCTTTCCTCCGCATCACACATGACCTAAGCGTGTTCACGTCGGGTGTTACGCCTGCCTCGTGCCTCCTCCTGCCTGTAACGTGCGTGGTGACGGACCCCCTGCCTGCGCGCACCGCCTCTCCTGCCCCACAACTGTCGTTTCCCCCACCCCCCAAAAAAAGGAGTGTTTTTCATGTTTTGGCCGTTTTCCCGTGTTTCCGAGGTAGCATCACAGCTCGCTAGGGGTGAACCCCCATTTAATTTCACCCCCCACTTTGATTTCGGTGGTCCCCTGCCCACCGGCACGAGGGGCTTCTCAGTGCAACCCCCTCACCGTGGGGACGTTGCCGTGGGTGATGGTTGGGGACTTCACCGGGCTCCCCGAGAGGGTTTGGGCGGGAGGGGGTGAACCCCATAATTGAGGCAGCA